ATGCATGCAGGAGCTGTTCGCTGAAGCGAGTTGGAGGCTGGGCAAGATTCCTTTGAGACCATGGACTTTGGAGGCGAGATTGTTGATGATAGCAGAAATGAGTTGCTAAGGAGCCTGTGGGTGGTCCGCTTTTGTCTGAATTTTTCAAGACATGCTCTCAAGAAACGTAAGCATTTTCCCCCCTCTACATAGGTATCTAACGTTTATCTCTAGGGAACCTCCTCTACACGGGTGCATTGATGTGTGGACCCAACAAAACATTGCCAGCATGCCAATGCCACTTGGAAGGAGCAGATGCCCACCCTTGTTGATGGCTACTTGGCATGGAGACATGAAGCGCCAACTGAAAGACAATACCATTGCTCTAACATGTTTCATGTTGATGTTGTTGGAATTTCCAGTAAGGTTTCATTCCTTCAATACATGGCCCTTACTTACACTCAATCACATTCAAAGGTTTTGCACATGCCATCACCATCTAGCAGCGTCCTAATGAACCAGCGAATGCAGCCCTCCTTCACATGGGACTTTTGGGGTGCTCCCCACTACAGCCGACTATCGCTATTCACATTGAATGCCTCAAACTATATCACCAATATGATGACATCAATCCTCGTTTAGTATCCAAGCGATCACAAAGGTTTTGTGTATACTTCATGACGTAAGTGTTGTAGCATGTTATGTATGATGTCATACTCACTTACTATACAGATTACATATTTTCGATGGTTTTGCGATCAATTTCTGATGTGTTCGATATCTATCTACAAATCTTGCGGGAAATTCGGGAGTCATGTTGACTGGATCTTGGGCAGAGATCCCATACCTGGCAGATCAATGGTTCTTGTCCTTCCTGTACATTCAAGGTAACACTCCATTCTCAAATATGTAGATATAATTAAATCAATTTTACAGCAACCTAATGAGTCATTCTTGTCACCAGCATGTCTCCACACAATGGACGGCAATTTCTCAGCCAAGCAATTGGATGGGTCAGGATCAGCTGATCCGCGCCTATTTCGAGCCGGTATTTATTTCCAAGGCCAAGGTAGACCAATTCAAGGATGACATTTGGCATCAAACTAGTGAATCCTCCATGGTAGAATCAACAATATCAAGTGCTTGCACAGAGAACTGGACTGCAGCCAAGGCTGTGGACAATGATAAAATTACTGTGTTTGACCAGACAGGAATTTTTCTTCTAGTGTGTCATCATGGGCTCATCGAAAGTGTAACTGAAATGAAATGCAGTGGTGAACTGTACGTATTTTAACTCTCGTTTGTACTACACTCATCATCCACCAACAGTGCGAAATATGGTCTGGCCACAGTCAATAGACTGCTCAATGTCTGCAGCATGGATCAGGCTATTGGACATGATATTGCATGCTCATCTTGTAAAACAATTGCAACAAGCTCTATTGGAGTCAAGGCAGCTGGACTAAATCTACAGGTTGTTGTAAACGCCTTCCACAGCTTTTCTCATGACCACTGCTGTCAGCTTCAGAATCACCCTTTGTATCTCAATGGTCTAGGACTTGAAGACCTCGAGACTTGTGAATGCATCTTCGCTAGTTCAAACAGTGCTGCAATTTTGATCTGACATGCATCATACTTCCATTGGATGCAGTTCCTCAACCTCCACTTCGATCAATGGGACATGGACTGGTACTCAGACCTTGGTATGTCTTTTTGAGCGCCCAACAGCAATTTTTTTCTAACTATTTCAGGTGCATTTCTTTACAACAACTATGTTCAAGCTCTTCAGATCATTGAGACCAACATGCCCATCCTCGAGGAATTCAAGCAACTCCATGATCTTATGGATGTGGACTTCGTAAACTGGTGAAATGAGGAGTTTGAGTATCTCAGCAATGTTGCTATGGAACCTACTTTGGATGCAATCACAGTGGCTTACATCGAACAGCTTGAGAAGCTTCAATATGTGGAGTTTGTATTTGCGCCCTGTTTACTTGTGTACTAGTTCTCATTGCATGTCTTAGAGAAACATATGGCCGTCTTACTTCTGTGCCCTTTCTGATGTACACTCCTGCAAATTTCACTTGCACATCTGGCCTCAATGCCACCGCTCACAACAATTCCAGAGCATTCAAATCTGAGCATGCATCTGCGCTACGCAAATATGAGCTGCAATTGAATGTTGTTGAAGATTTCGAGCGTCATCACAGCATTATGGAGCGGTGGCTACCGCATGACCCAAAATACATGCAAGCAGTCAGATATTCTCAGGAACATCAATTCATTTGTTTGGTTGAGGAATTGGAGGGCTTAGTTGTTCGGCATCTTTTTGAGTTATCAAAGGCTAATCTTGCCAGCACTGGTAGGCGCTTATTGGACATTCAGATAGGTGATGTACTCATGGACTACCATAGGCTACAAGATGCGAAAGTATATCTCAAAGGCCATCACACGACGTTTGGCTGCCATCTGAATGGCTTTGGAGAAGTACAATAGACTCGCACCCTTACAAAATCCACCACATCCCGTGCTCAACTATACCAAAATTGTCAGTTACGCATCTCTCGGTGAATTTTCAGTTCTGAAACACTCATGCCACGATATCCTCACAAAACCATGGACTGTGTCTGCTAATTGCGAGATAGCCGCAAGGTATTTCAAATTGGTGCGATCACATGAAGAGATTGTATGGCTCAATGTCAAGATCAAATGCTTACATTGTTGGGTTGAGCATGAGGACAGGACCACATTGGAAGCTATTGATTCACTCCTCACTGATGACCCAGATTCTCCACTCATAGCTAAGTTGAAGACATTGTATGCCAAGCACCACCGTGTCAACAACAACCATTGCAAGTGACTCCAACAAATTTATGCACTCAACAGATACACAGGTGATCATCTTCCTACAGACCAGACAGTGACTGCATCCAATGGAGACAGAGATGATGAGGGTAGCGTGAATGGTCCTGAAGATTTAGTGTTGCATTCTTTGTAACTTTCATACTGTCAATTCTATGTCCTGTGGTATCTCTCGTCTATTCATTTTCCCCTGTCACTTCTCTTGCACCCTCTGTGGCATCTCTTGTATATTTGCTTGTGACCCTTTTACTAGTAGCTGTTAAGAACCATGTTGCTCAAGGGAGAGAGAGACTGACTCAGAGGGGCTTGGCCTCAGCTCGTACGCTGTGCCCCTTACCCGAGTATGTGCCCTTCATTTCAGATGAGGTCCAATGATGGTCCGACGAAGTCTGGAGGACTTCCGGAGGCTGGCTACTCTGCTGGAGAGCGCTAGAGGACTTCCGGAGGAGCGCAGGAAACGTCCGGAGGAGTGCAGGAGAGTTCCGGAGGAGTGCAGGAAGTGCTCAGGAGAGTTCCCACTGCAAGGTAATACTTCTACAGGAAACAGGGTGGAAGGATAGGAGGTCCAAAAGGTCTGGAGGACAGGAGGACAGGAGGACAGGAGGACAGGAGGGCAGGATGACAGAGGACAGAAGGACAGGATGTCCAGAGGTATGAAGGACAGGATGTCTGAAGGACAGGAGGATAGGATGTCCGAGGGTTAGGAGGACAGAACGTCCAAAGGACCAGGATGCCTGGAGGTACGAGGGACAGGAGGTCCGGAGGTCCGGAAGGAATAGGGGCTACATCGGACGAAGTCCGATGTAGAAACAAACAGAGGTAGACTACCCTAAGGTAGAGTTGGAGAGACAGGGATTGGACCTAAGTCCGGAAAGAGGGTAAGTGCTGGAAAGGTAGAGCTCCAGCCTAGGGAATCAATCCCTAGGCCTGATGGGTAGGACAGACTTAGGTGGACCAAAGTCCAAGAGAGGATTGGGCAAGTCTAAGTTGATATTCAAACTGAGGAACTACAGGAGTATCTACAGGGGTTATATACTGGACAATATCTGAGGGGATCAGTAAGCAAAGGAGCAGGGCTATGTACGAGCATGTGGAAACACATTAGTAAGTAAGATGGAACATAAGTAAATGAACTTGGAGATGAAGACTTGTACAAGGATCAATAAGCAAGACAGAAGAAGAGGTAACTGAAAGCCGGAAAGGTAGAGATGCCTAAATGGGGATAGGTGCAGGATCTCGGACAGAGGGTGGGAATAGGTCTGGTGTTAATATCCGGAGGTCCGGAGATCTGGGGATCTGGAAGACAAGGTGGATACAGGACCGGAATATGAGAAGGTGGATATAGTCCAGAATCCAAGACGAGGTGAAGTCTGGATGTCTTGCTGGATGGAGTGTGCATAGGGTGGATGGGACAGGGGGGTATGGATCAGGCTAGCAGTGGAGATCCGATGGTCTGGAGCTCAGGGGTAAATCTGGAGTGTAGTCAATCCTGCTGAGGTGTGGAGCACAGCAGAAGGGGATCTGGGAATGAGCTGGATATGAAGTGGGGTCCGGATGTAGGCTCGGAAGGTGTGGGAATATGATGGAACATGGGTCTGGATTGTGGGATATGACAGAATGAGGTCAAACTACCTAAAAGCATGGTTGAAAGTACATATGATTCACTTGCAGCTTTGATAAGTTTGTTTTAACAGTTGTGTGGCAGGAATAGCAGCATTGGACCAAAATTCTAGCATGTCCTCTGAACATGTCCAACCAGATGGTTTCTTATATCCAAATCCCTCAGACTCACCCAACGGTTGCCACGCTCATCAGACTCCTGATGACAGTATCATGTCTTTCACATCCGAGTCATTTGACTTCCCGACTTCATGGTCTAACACCAACCATTCGAGTGACTCGACTTTCCCTACGTTTGGCAGCCCAGATTTCACTTCTACACCATTCCCTCAACCACCTGCACTTCCTGTGTCCAAGGGCCATGATCTTGCTGAAGCAAGTGGAGTCACAAAGCGGCGCCCTAAGCATGTCACACAGCCAAAGGACACTGGTTATCATGTCCGTATACTACCAGGCAGCACGAGTCCCCTCACAATACCATCACACGCTTTCATCTTAGCAGCCCAGCTACTACCTAATACCAGTGCTGCTGTAGAACACGCTGCTCATATGACAGAAGATCGCATTCTTTCAGGTGGTCTGAGCCCCCCATCACGACCTTTTGTATTAGTGAAGTGCACGTCCCCTGCCATAAAGAAACTAATGGCTTAACCAACTTCTTCTGATGTGAAGGAATCACACAAATGTCACAATGTGGGTGTTCTGACCCTGAGAAATGTCCTGACAACTAACGGATTCTGACAGGGAAAAAAAAAACAGCTGGTCGGCAATGAGGCGGGAAATGCAGTGCAAATGAAAACCATGTTGCGCAGTGACAAGGACGGAGTTTCAGTCACTAACCACATTTACCTCATGACATCTGATCCAGGTCCCATTCAGTCAACTTGCGATGCAGGTTATGACTGTATCTGTGGTGAAATCAACAGTGCACTTCTTGGCCTTTCCCTTCACCACAGTACTAAGGACAAGATCTGGCGCTGCATCCAGCAGGTTGAGGGATACCAAGTAAACAGTTGGAAGGCCATACTTGTGAAGCTTGATATCCCAGAAGAATGCCATCACAACATGCTTCAAATTATGGCTAGTGCAAGTCATGACCGTAAACTTAGTGAGTTCTGCCCATTTGGACTCTGTTTCAACCTGACTAACCTTCAATTTAGTCTGGACTTAGTTGTTTCGCTTCGCTCCATTCTCGCATATGATGGACCACTCATATTGCTTTGTTCACAATATCTCAGTTCGCTTCATGTATTTGTCCTTGTCCCTGAACTTGAAATGTATAAAACTTTGCTGCCATTCACTCCTTGACTTCAATGGTTCCTCATCCAACTCCTAAAATTCATTGAGTGCATGCACAACTGATGGCGACCCAAAAGGCTCAACAGCATGCCTGTCACAAAGCACTCACTGATGATATTGACACTGCCAAGGAGTCATATGAAGCAGAGGCTGCTGACATAGCACAAAAACATGGCTGGCGAGTCTGCATCATAAATATCTTATTGCTGATATATATTAATTGTCTTGTATATCAGTGAAGTGGACCAGAAACCAACTGTTTCTTCGCAGTCGCATGCTGCAGAAGACCAGAGGTGTTAACTCCTGGAACACATTTGTCAAAGCCCAACTCAAGGATGAAAATGAAGGTCAGTGTAATAATTTAATTTGTGAAGTAACACTGGTGCTCACGAATTTTTCATTAGGTTTAGGCAGAGGTGATTGCACAAAACTTACAGCCTTCATCACAGAAAACAAGGCCATGTTACTCCAAGATTATCGCAAGCTAACCTTTGCTGAAAAGCAAGCTTACAATGCCTGTGTTCTCGAGGATTGCCAAGAAAAGAACCGTACTGCACGTTCAAACCCAAAGGCCATCAAACATGATGTGAATGCAGCATTCACATTCATGGATCGTGAGGTATGTCGAAGTATCTTGCACCCTCTGTGGCATCTCTTGTCTATTCGTTTGTCCCTGTCACTTCTCTTGTGCCCTCTGTGGCATCTCTCATTTATTCATTTTCCCCTGTCACTCCTCTTGTGCCCTCTGCAGCATCTCTCATTTATTCATTTGCCCTGGTGGCATCTCTCGTCTATTCATTTGCCCTCTGTCTACTCATTTGTCTCTGCTGTCTTTGGTACCTCTTCATTTATTTATTTACCGTCCGAGACACCACCACTAATACAACTGAAATTTATCCTCAGTGGATGGCGCTCCATGCATGCACTGGTCTGGAGGGGTTTTATGTGGCAGTATGTGGCAGAATTGAAGATCTTGCAGAACCAAAGATTTTTTTTACAGAGAAATCTCAAAAATTTGTTTGGGACGTCCTAGGCATTTGTCATATCCCGTATGCCAGACATAGATCCCATCATATTCCCACGCTTTCCGGACCTGTTTCTGGACTACATCCACCACCTCACATATCTCAGTCCTGTTTCTGTCCTGCCTTCTGGATCCCCAGATCTCCGGACCTCCAGATATTAACTGTACTATCTCCAGACCTATTCCCACCCTCTGTCCGAGATCCTGCGCCTATCCCCATTTAGGCATCTCCCCCTTTCCAGTTCTTGGTTATCTCTGTTTCCATCTTGCTGATTGATCCTTGTACTAGTTTCATCTCTGAGTTCATTTACTTATGTTCCATCTTACTTACCAATGTGTTTCCGCATGCTCATACATAGCCTTACTCCTTTGCTTACTGATCCTCTCAGATAGCCTCTAGTATATAACCCCTGTACAACTACAGTAGAGTCCTCAGTCTGAATATCACCTTAGATCTGCCCAATCATCTTCTGGACTTCAGTCCATCTGAGTCTTGTCCTTTTCTGTAAGGCCTAGGGAAGGATTCCCTAGGCCGGAATTCTGGACCTTCGGATTTGCCCCCTATGTCTCTGTCCCAAGTCTAGGGATTGCTTCCCTAGGCTGGAGTCTTGCCTTTCCGGCACTTACCCTCTTTCCAGACTTAGGTCCACTTCCTGTCCCTCCAACTCTACCTTAGGGTAGTCTACCTCTGTTTGCTTCTACATTGGACGAAGTCCGATGTAGCCCCTATTCCTTCCGGACCTCCGGACCTCCTGTCCTCTGTACCTCTGGATGTCCTGGTATCCTGTCCTTTGGACATTCCGCCCTCCATACCTTTGGACATTCCGCCCTCCATACCTTTGGACGTTCTGTCCTCCATACCTCCAGACCTCCTGTCCTCTGTACTCTGGACCTCCAGACATCCTGTCCTCTGGACCTCCTATCCATCCATCCTGTTTTCCTGTAGAAGTATTACCTTGCAGTGGGAACTCTCCCGCGCTCCTCTGGACATTTCCCGCGCTCCTCCAGAAGTCCTCCCACACTCTCCACCAGAGTAGCCAGCCTCTGGAAGTCCTCCAGACTTCATCGGACCATCATTGGACTTCCTCTGAAATGAAGGGCACATACTTGGGTAAGGGGCACAGTGTACGAGCTGAGGCCAAGCCCCTCTGAGTCAGTCTCTCTCTTCTTTGAGCATGGTTCTTAACAGCATTGAGCCACAGCATCTTGGACTGAAGCTGGAAGCATTCGTGATTAGCAAGCTTGGTATGTTATCTTTGTCCTCATCTTGTAGCCTACTGATTGTCTCAAAGATGAACATGTAACACTTAACTGTCAATGGCCACTCAACAAACTTATTAGTGAATGCTGTGAGCTTATCCAAGATAACCTTGGTATGTGCTTCATAGTGTCCCCTCGTGCTGTCACTAACATAATTCATCAAAGAATTTATCTTAATGGAGAAGAATGTGTCAGGCAAAGTCAAAATGAATTATACAAACTATGAGCATGCTATAGTAGAACGTCATGGTGTTGAGCTAACTAAGTGGCCCTTGCCGGGGGGGGTGAAAAATCCCTTGAAGGTTGGTGGAAGAGCACAGGTTCAGGTTTTGTTAAATGCTCTCAAGTCTGATTTGTGCAAGTGGGTCTCTCTCTCAGACGAGGAGCTTGTCAAGAGGATGAAGGATAACCGGGATCGGCATGCACATGGGGAACAAGTTTATGTGCAAAGGAAAGCCAGGGCTTGTGTTTCACAACCCAAGAGTAAAGCCACTGTCAACACTGATGACGAGTTGAGCTCAAGCTCAAGCTCAAGCTCAAGCTCAGACTTGGATTCGGATTCGGACTAGTACTATGCACCTTCTAGACACATTGATAGGATGGTAATGATAACACTGAGCACAATAATCATCAGTGTCAAGCTTGTTTGATTGACAAACAGGTTCACATCACATTAGGAAGAACATGATTGTGGTAGCGCAGTGATCATGGTAGCGTGGTGATTGTGGTAGCGTGGTGATCATGGTAGCATGGGACCTGGGCAAGGACATGTCACATGGAGGGTAAAAGCAAGTGCCAGCAAAGACTGATCAACACAAGGTTGGAACAATCAATAGGAGCGGGTAGAGCTGGGCCAGGAATGACTGCAGGAGCGAGCACATTGTTGAGGATGATGTGGGGCGTGAAAGAGAGAGGTGTTGAAGGCGTTAGAGGCGTCAGGAGGCATAAGGACAGCAACATACCTTGTAGCTCCTGGCAGTGGCAAGAGATTATCCAGGGCAATGAGAGAAGGAAAAGAGCGTTGTAGAATGCAAGGGTGTCGACAAGCTAAAACCAAAAGAACAGCTAGAGTTGGGAGAGGAATGAGTGGGATAGCAAGCACATCGTCAAGGACAATGTGGAGATGAAAAAGAGAGGTGTGGGAACCATCAGAAGGCGTAGCGGCAGTGTTGTAAGGGAGATATCCAGGGAGATGACAAATCAATAGCCCTGATATGTTATTTACCCACCCTCTTAATATTCCTGAAGTCACTGCTGATTGTTGCAGCTATCGCTGAAGTACTGCAGCATAGGTTTGCCCCCCTCATTAGTAACAAATATGTTATACTATGTACGTTACTAACAAGTGTGGGAATAGGTGTCACTCAGGTGAAGGGTCAATCAGCAAGATGGAAACAGAGACAACTGAGAACTGGAAAGGCAGAGATGCCTAAATGGGGATAGGTGCAGGATCTTAGATGGAGGGTGGGAATAGATCCAGAGATAGTAACAGTTAATATCCAGAGGTCCGGAGATCTGGGGATCCAGAAGGCAAGGCGGAAACAGGACTGAGATATGTGAGGTGGTGGATGTAGTCCAGAATCCAAGAGGACGTAAAGTCCAGATGTCTTGCTGGATGGAATGTGCATATGGTGGACAGGATAGGGGTGTACAGATCAGGCTAGTAGTGAAGATCCAGAAGTCTGGAGCTCAGGGGTAAATCCATAGCAGAGCTAATCCTGCTGAGGTGTGGAGCACATGGCAGAAGGGGATCTGGGAATGAGTTGGATGTGGGGTCTGGAAATAGGCCTGGGAGGCGTGGGAATATTATGGGATCTAGGTCTGGCATATGGGATATGACAGTATGCAACATGTGAATTTTTCACTACACAAATCAGCAAGTATCGAGTGCTGAGACTCAAAACCTGAAACTCAAGAACCAAAAACCTGAAACTCAAGAATCAAAAACCAAAAACCAAATCTCGAAAAAATGTATATAACATGAAATTTTTTTATTTCATTACACAATTCACTGAGTGTCAAGTGCCAAAGCCCAAAACCCAAAACTTGAGACTTGACACCCAAAATTTGAAAACCCAAAACCAAAAACTGAAAACCAAAAACCAAACACCAAATCTTGAAAAAATGCATATAACATGAATTTTTTTATTTCATTACACAATTCACTGAGTGTCGAGTGCCAAAACCCAAAGCCTGAAGCCCGAAACTCGAGACTTGACACCTGAAATTTGAAAACCAAAACCAAACACCAAATCTCAAAGAAATGCATATAACATGAAATTTTTTTATTTCATTACACAATTCACTGAGTGTTGAGTGCTGAAACCCAAGACTTGATACCCGAAACTCAAAAACCAAACACTGCAAACCAAATCTCAAGACTCAAAAACTGAATCTCAAAAAAATGTATATAACATGAAATTTTTTATTTCATTACACAATTCACCAAGTGTCAAGTGCTGAAGCCTGAAACCCAAAACCTGGTACTACTGACTTCCAAGTGTTGGGACTCAGGACTTGGCAGTCCATATAGGCAAATGATGATGAAAAAATGAAAGTTGTTATTATGCTTAACTTTCTTAACAAAGGTTGTAGTCTGAGTCAAGGTGAGTGTCTTGGTAGTCTTTCCTTGTCAATTGGTTATCATTTGACCAAGATATAAGCTAAATAAATCTGAAACATTGGTGATAATGAAAAAATGAAAATCATTATTATGCTTCACTTCCTTAATGAAAGTTTTAGTCCAAGTCTATGTGAGTGTATTGGTGGTCCTACTGAGTGATGGTACTCGAGACTTGAGAATCAGTACTTGGTACCTGGGAATCAGTAGTTGGGTACTCAGTACTCAGTTCTGATACTCAGTACCCAGGAATTGTTATGAACTCAGATAGAGCGTCATTCCAATAAAGGAATCAAGATCAGGGTTGATCAAGGACTAAGCCTTATCGAATCAATGCCTCCCTCAGGAGCAATTGTCTAGACTCCTGCAGGATCTAGAGTTGAAATGGGACAATGGCTAGCCTCCTTCCCCAGGAGCTAGAGTTCAAGTTATCAGAGAGAACCGAATAGATTCAAGTTAGAGAAAATACAAGTGGTAACTAGGGTTTATATACGTAAAGGAATTGTGCACAGACCAAGCTGGGCAAAGGGTAACTAGTACTAGAAATGGAAGGTTCATGGGAAAACAAGGTATGAGTCAGAGATAAAGGAGACCATGAGGAAACAGCACAGTGAAAAGGAAGCGTTAGAAGTACAGCCATATAGGAGTCCACAGTGATGATGGGAAAAAGAGTGGGGCACTGTAACAGGAATCAGTAGTCGGGTACTCCAGCCAACAGTCCTGGGTCCTGAGTACCAACACTTGGTATTTGGTGGTCAGGTTTGGAACTTGGGTTTCAGGTCTTGATAGTGGGTTCTCAGGACTTGGGACTTATATCACTGCCAAGGTGATAATGATGACTACCAAGTGTTGGGACTCAGTACTCGGGATTCAGCAGTTGAGACTTGGTAGTTGATATTGGTAAATCACTCTCCCTCAGGGATAATGAAAACAATGAAAGTTGTGGTCCAAGTCTAGGTGAGTGTATTGGCAGTCCCTTCTTGTCCATCGGGTATCATTTGACCAAGATATATGCTAAAGAAATTTGAAACATTGGGGATAATGAAAAAAATGAAAGTTGTAGTCTGAGTCAAGGTGAACATATTGGTAGGTGATATTAGCACTTGGAGCTTGAATACTGACCACCAACTATCAAGTGTTGGGACTTGGTACTTAAAATGGATATAGCATGTATCCATAAAAATACAAAAGATGTTCCTATGTGTTTATTTCTAGGTGAATAGACTTTGAAATTATATCCCCATCATCTATTCAGCAATAGAAACAATGTATCAGGAGCTCAGGACCATAGGGTAATCCTTTATTGTATAGTGTACCTCCCCCTCTTGTTAAGGTCATACTCAAGGGCTAATGGATCCTAAGGGCTTCAGCCTCAGCTCATGCGCTGTGCCCCTTACCTGAGTATTGCCCCTTATTTCAGGAGGGCAAGACTAATGCATCTGGAGGGTCAGACAAGTAGTGTAGCAGATCCAGATGACTTCCAGATGCAGGATAAGTATCATAGGGCTAATCCAGACAAGTCCAGACTAGAAACTAATGGTAGTGGACTGTTGTAGACAGAGGCAGATATGGATAGACTATAGGAATCAATCCTAAGTCTCGGAGGGTGACAAGAGTAGAGATACTCAGGTCTGGAGGACAGGAATGAGCAGAACTAAGATGATATTCGAACTGAGGTGTTACAGAGATTTACAGGAGGTTATATACTATAGGTATCTGACAGAATGATCAATCAGCAGGGTCTGAGGTATGTACGAAGCATATGGATAGTCTATGAGCCCCTTCAGTGACAAACTCCGTATTATACGGGTCACCTGACCTACATAATATCCCATATAAGACGGGCCAGTAGACTATGGGCTGATGTTATGTATATCCTCGATGTTGATGGGTGGGCCAGGAGGGATATTATTTCCAATGGGGACGGGTGGGTCCATCTATGCCCATGTTATAAATATCCTCAATGATGGCGGATGGGCCAGAAGAAATATTATTACTGATGGAGATGGGTGGGCCCATCTGGGCAATATGTAGAGTAGGATAGACATATATTATAGACAGCTGGGCTGAAGAGAGATGTATGGCAGATATTATTATATAGACAGGTGGGCCAATGTATTAGTATTATTTTGTAGATGGGTGGGCCAATGGGGCAGTGAAATACTTATTATATATATGGGTGGGCCGAGGTGGGGGTATATTAGATAGACGGGTGGGCTGAGGTGGGGGTATATTAGATAGATGGGTGGGCCGACATAGGGGCATATTACATGGACAGGTGGGCCAACATAGGGTATATTACATAGACAGGTGGGCCCAGATACATATCATTTAGACATATGGGCTGAGGTATTGGTATACTATATGGACATATGAGCAATGCTGTTGCACTAGTTTTGATCCAAGTCATCAATGACATTCAGACTCAGATCCTGTCAACGTCGATCAAAGTCAACACAGCGAGTACCGAGTCCCAAAACCTGAACATTGAACCCCAACCATTGAAACCCAAAACCCAAAACTTCAAAACACTAACATCAAAACTCAAAACTCAAAACTCAAACATTTGTATGACTGTTGAGTTTCCTGTCTTGAATCACTGAGGCCTGCATACTGAATGCCGACACCTGAAGTTGTGTCGGTAGTCGGACTTCAGGACTCGGTGATTCAATACTTGAAAGTCATACCAATATCTGAATTTCAAGTTTCGGGTTTTGAGTTTCAAGACTTGAATCACTGAGTCCTGAGTCCTGAACATCAAAACCCGACACCCAAAACTTGAAAGTCATACCAATATCTGAATTTCAAGTTTCAAGTTTCAAGACTTGAATTGCTGAGTCCCAAAACCCAAAGCCTGACACCCAAAACTCGAAAGTTGTAAAAATGTATGAGTTTTGAGTTTCATTTGAAAATCAATACTCGAAACTCATACATTTTTACAACTTTCAAGTTTTGGGTATTGGGCTTCGGGTTTTGGGACTCAGTGATTTGAGTCTTGAAACTCAAAACTCGAAATTCAGATATTGGTATGACTTTCAAGTTTTGGGTGTTGGGTTTCGATGTTTGGGTTTCAGGACTCAGGACTCAGTGATTCGAGTCTTGAAACTCAAAACTCAAAACTCAAAATTCAGATATTGGTATGACTTTTGAGTTTTGGGTGTTGGGTTTCAATGTTAGGGACTCAGGACTCGAAACCCAACAGTTGTGACAATGTATGAGTTTCAAGTTGTGAGTCTCGAATCACCAAGTCCCAAGTCCCAAAACACAAACATCAAACCCCTTATATCGAACCCCAAAATCCAAAACTCGAAACTTGTCAAAATGTATGAGCTTTGAGTTTTGAGTGTTGAGTTTACAAATTGACACTCAAACCTCAAAGCTCATACATTTCAACAAGTTTCGAGTTTCAGATTTCAGGGTTCAATATAAGGGGTTTGATGTTTGGGTTTTGGGACTCGGGACTTGGTGATTTGAGACTCAAAACTTGAAACTCATACATTGTTATGACTGTTGGGTTTCGAGTTTTGATCTTTGTTTCTAACTTTCGGGTTTTGCTACTCGGTACTTGAGACTCAGTGATTGAATAAATGGACTGGCAGAGGTAACATTCATTGGAAAACTTGTACATATGTCTATCACTATGCAATTATGTAGCCATGTCAACCTCCTCTGAAGATGCTTCAACCTTCACCTCAACATCCATGTCATTGGAAGAATCATATTCTGGGACCAGGTTGCCCAGATCACCTGGGTCCACATTTTCACCAGATGTATCTCAAAGCTCTGGTTGAACAACCTGGTTGTACTCAAACAGGAGGCCCTCAATGGCAGAGGCATCCTCAAATTTCGGGGGTGCAGGCGTCATCTCTCCAATTGAGAGATCAATGAGAGGGGGGAGTGCAGATGCGGATGGTGACATGGTTGGGGGGACGGATTGATCAAGCAACAAGGATGTTGCATTGGCTGGAGGTTTGGGAAGTGGGAATGCGGTGTGGGAAACACAACAAGAAGAGAACTGGAAAGTAGACTTCTAATGTTGGGCTAAATGTGCTATGCCTTGCTGCTATTCAACCCTAAAGGGTTTCTGGACTAAGCTCAGTGCTCAGAGAGGATAGGAAATCATGCTAAAAACTGCTCAGTCTCAGACTGGTACTGGTAAGAGGTGAAAACTATGATGATTACATAAGCACCAAAAGTGCGAACATAACACTAAGTAATATCTGCCTATACAAGCCCACAGAATATGAAATCCCTACAGCAGGGTGCTGGTCGACGATTTCGCACCTAAGGCCTTCATGGAGGTGTTGCAGGGTATCAATCTTACCATCCTGCTCTGCCACATGAGCCTCGAGAATGGCAATGCAAGCTGTGCCATCCCGAATTGCAATTGCCATGGCATGGAGATCCAGCATGGGCAGGTCAAGTGCTGCAGCAGGGACTGTTGGACTGGGTGCTGGAGCAGGGACTGCCAAACTCGAAGATGGAGGTGCTACAAGGGAAAATAATGGTCAGATGGTGATGAAACAAAACTTGGGTGACTTATGAGCTGGTGCAGGTGCGGGTGCCTTGACAGCAGTGATGGTCTTGCTGCGACCACACGTCTGGGTCTTGGGGGTTGTCACAGCAGTGACACCTGGAGTTCTGGACTTGCCATGAGACTGACTGCGAGTCTGGGCCTTGGATTGGGAGGTGGGGGGAGCTTTGGAGGGAGCCTTGGAGGGCATCCTGGACCTTGTGTTCCAGGTGGTAGAGGACCCATGAATGTGTTTTGGCGGGGTACCCATAGTTGCCAGGATGCACTTGATCCTCTTTGTCGTGCAGCAGATGCATGACATACACGGATTCCCGGTCCTCTTGTCCAACCGAGTTGCGCAGTCCCAGTTTAGCTTGGTGCAAGCCTGGCATGGGTTGTTCTGTGGATTGTGTTAGTGAATGGACACTTTCAAATAAATCAAAGTACTCACTGGTCTGGGAATGAGAATATCACCTCCATCGATGACTGGGGGTGCCTCCACCGGGCTTTCAGGAGTTGGCTGGGAGGGCTCGATGACTGCTGGGTGACTGCTGGCAATCACCTGGTACAGTATGAGCATACACCTGAGTCCCGGATGCATAAATGTGACTTACTGTAGTGGGGCCAAAGGGCTTTTTGGTCAGAACCTGGGGTGATCTAGGTGAATTGGAGAGCCAGGGAAGGATGACTTCTGGCACTCCACCCAACAATGGCTACAAGAAACTGTGAGCCAAGTCAAAGACGAACCAGATGACATACCTGAATACCCACATCTTCCTCATCTTCTGAGTCCACTAGGGGCTTGGACGTCACCCAGCAAGAGGACTTCGCATGCTTGCGAGTCTTCATCACAGACTTCAGTGGTTGGGAGGAGAGTCCCAAAATCATGGGAGACTTCCTCTTCCGGCTCCCTTCCGCCTCAGGCTCCAGGTCAGCATCGACAGCCTTACCTTTCCCCTTGTCCCGGAACTTGGCGGTGGTGCTGGTGGAGGGACCGGTGACATTGCCAGTGTGGATGGGTGGGGAGGGAAGGTCCACTAGAATCAGACCTGTGGAGGGAGGAGCAGCAACTGAGAGATCAAAGGTATGGTCACCTAAGGCCTCCCAGGCGAGGAGCTTGGGGCACCAGACATGCATCAAGAGACAGGGATCGTCATACCTGATGTTGTGCCAGTTGGGCCAGACCTGGGGAGTCATGCCCATAGTCCTTGATCACTTGAGCCTGCCTGGATGTTAGAGAGAAAAAAAGAAAAGAAAAAGAAAGCTACATACCACAAGTGAACTGACCTGTGTTGTCAGAGAAAAGTGGCTGTTACCTGGGGGAATCTGCCAGGCACCGCTGATGATGGCCATGATCTGGGCAGTGGATGCCTTGAGACTGGTCAAAGAGTTGTCAACTGGAGTGGACATGATGATTGAGTTGAGAGATTTAAAGATCTTCAAATAGGGTTGAAATCAGTTATCACAAGGATGAAGTTTCAAAAGAAACAACACATTTGATGGAAGATTGATAAAATCATTGATTGTTTGTCTTTGTTTGGTCCTGGTTCAACTTCCAGCAATCACCGGTGTGACAATCATACCAGCACTAGGCGTGTATGAGTGTCATAGGCATATTTTGCCTTGCCCAGAGGAAAAGAGTAAGGCACTAGTCACCAGCGCTATTCAGCTCCCAAGCTATCCACTTTGGAACCACTTTTCTCCCATAGTGTGCTACCCAGTCCGATGCCTAGGTATTCCATCCTCCCATGTCCTGCCTATGTCCACCTACCTCCACTGGTGCATTATTTTTCCTTAAATGTCGCTACTCATCAGTCGCAGGTCTTATTACATGTGTCCTTGTGTTCCGCAGTGCTGCATGTTTTATTACCTGTTGCTACATCATGCCCTCACCAGTGTTGCTACTATACTCACCTATGCAATCCTGAACCCCTACACAGTATGATAAAATGACCTGTCCTACATACAGTACAGTACTTCCCTTCCCTGGACCTTTGCTGGTGTCAGAGTCACTTTAGTCACTATATCCTAGTTTTAGTGCAATTGATTCCACTCTTGCCAATCTCTTTGATCACATGTCACTTGACTTGCTTTAAGTGTGCATCGGTAAAGTTCCCTCTTAAGTTTGACTTTTGCAATGTCGGGATCACTATCGGTAGTCGAGCTATAATCTAGCCACTATCGGGCATTCTGTTAAGGTCACGTGCTCAAGGGTGTCGGATCACAAGGGCTTGGCCTCAGCTCGTATGCTGTGCCCCTTTCCTGAGTATGTGCCCTTAATTTCCGGGGGCTAGAACAGTCGTCTGGAGTTTCTGGGTTTTGACTAGGGCAGATAATGGACGTCCAGATCTGAAACATGAGATAAATCCGACAGATGTCCAGATGTTACCTGGGCAAGCGGATAAGACTAATCCGGACGAAGTCCGGACTAGAAACTAACAGAGGATGGACTACCCTTAAGGTAGAGTCAGAAATGTAGTCTAGGATGCAATCCTAAGACTCGGAATATGACAAGAGACTTATCTTGAGTCCAGAGGATACAGGAATGAGCAGGAACTAAGATGATATTCAAACTGGAGTATTTCTGAGAGTTACAGGAGGTTTATATACTGTAGGTATCATATAGGAATCAGTCAGCAAACATAAAGGCTATGTACGAAGCATATGCAAAGTCTATTAGTAAGTAGGACGGATCACAAATAATGAACACCGGAAATGAAATGTATGTAACAGATCAATAATCAAAAGGGAAACATGTTTAACCGGAGTCTGGAGACAGGGGTAGTCTAAATGGAGTTGGGCGCTGATATAGGGTTTAGATTCTGGAAGGGAGATAAAGATAGATCAGATCATTTGAGATCTGGATCTCGGATCCGGATATCCAGAGAAGCGGATTTAGAGTTGAGAGTCCAGAATGGCATATGACACATTCCACTTGCACTATCTTACCTTACTCCTCACTTTCGCTCCCTTTGATTTCTTCTCGCTGTCGCTAGTCAGATGTCGCATAGCACTATTGCATAAAACAACTTGCATAGCACCTCTCACTTATATGCACGTTCCTCTTGTTGGAACTCGCTTGTCACTTGTTGCTGATCGCTATAGCGCTACTCATTGGTTTTTTGGTCTTAGGTCGCTATAGGTTATTAGTCCTTCACACTATCACTCCCCTTGCATATTAGTAGGGAGTTGCTTCATTAGCAGTCCTCTTGGGTCGAATACTACACTCGCACCTACTTGGATAAGTAGCGCTAGTTTCTAACCAGCCTAGTCACTATTTCTCTTTCACACCAGTTTTGTGTTGAACTTCGAAGTTTTTTCAATTATCAGTCAACAAATCAGTAAGTTCCCCACACAACATGAGTCCACAGTCAGCCATTTGATTCAATGACCCTCTGGTGACTGACTACAATTCAATGGATGTGGATGAGTCCACTGTGTCCCGGGCATCACTAGGTGTGTTGTATTTTTATCATGCCTTATCTATTTACCGGATATCCCTTAGATGATCTATACCTAGGGCCAGATGATGACATAGAATATGATTCTCCATCATCCGGATCACTGGATGTCTTGGCTGCAATACCCAGTGAGTTGATCCATTCATTAGGATCAAGGATCACCATGCATGCTCACTAACCCCTTGCAGATCAATCACCTCTGGCTCAAGCTGATCATCCAGGTTTTCTCATTGATCCAGACTTGTACCTTGGGCCTGAGGATGATATCATCGATGTGGATGAGTTGCCGGATTCTGCCAATCCTAAGATTGATGTTCCGGCTGCTCAGAAGCGTCTATGTCATGTGAGTCCATTCATTCCAGAGGATTATAGATACTTATTGTATCTCCCAAGTGGATGACACCTCTAACGAACTTCAGTCAGAGCAGCTGGAGCTCACTAACAAAGATTTACATTCAATGGCCTGGGAGTTCCGACCATTTGGGTCATATGAACACACCGGGTGTGAGTATCTGACCAAGCAGATCATTTATCTCTGTGCTAATTTGTCTGCAAGTGCAATCTGTTCAAGAACAACTTTGTCATATGCCATTCCAGACTCTCAACTCTAAATCTGCTTCTCCAGATATCCAGATCCGAGATCCAGATCTTAAATGATCTGATCTATCTTTATCTCCCTTCCAGAATCCAAACCCTATATCAGCGCCCAACTCCATTTAGACTGCCCCTGTCTCCGGACTCTGGTTAACCATGTTTCCCTTTTGATTATTGATCCGTTACATACATTTCATTTCCGGTGTTCATTATTTGTGATCCATCCTACTTACTAATAGACTCTGCATATGCTTCATACATAGCCTTTATGTTTGCTGACTGATTTCCTATATGATGCCTACAGTATATAAACCTCCTGTAACTCTTGGAAATACTCCAGTTTGAATATCATCTTAGTTCCTGTTCATTCCTGTGCCCTCTGGACTCGAGATAAGTCTCTTGTCATATTCTGAGTCTTAGGATTGCATCCTAGACTACATTTCCGACTCTACCTTAAAGGTAGTCCATCCTCTGTTAGTTTCTAGTCTGGACTTCATCCGGATTAGTCTTATCCACTTGCCCAATAAACATCTGGATGTCTGTCGGATTTATCTCATGTTTCAGATCTGGATGTCCATTATCCGCCCTAGTCAAAACCCAGAAACTCCGGACGACTGTTCTAGCCCCCGGAAATTAAGGGCACTTACTTGGGAAAGGGGCACAGCATACAAGCTGAGGCCAAGCCCTTGTGATCCGACCTCCTTGAGCATGTGACCTTAACAGACTTGGTGATTACAAACACTGTACCGGGGATCTTCCTGATCCTTCCATTCCACTGCTACTTGAGGCTGAGCGACCCTTCCAGATGGCTTGGGCAGAAACTTCCGACAAACTCAGAAGAGCTGATGCAGACCTCCAGAGGTTGCAAAGAGCCCAATGGATGAGCATTGAAATGCTCAAGGTAGTAGATTCACTGATCAATCGGTTTGAAGATCAGATTCAAATGTAAAGTACCAAATGTTTGATAGTAGTCAAACCACATGTAAACTTCCGAATTTTCATTAACATACCCACATCGTGTAAACAACCGAATTTGCAATGCATTCCTCTTCCATTTCCAATTGAGTTCCAGAGGCTCAGGAGTCCCAGGTGTTGAACACGGAAGTGTAAGTCTCACTTTGGCTCACTGAGTCCCAAGTGTCAAACACCAAAGTTCAATTCTCACTGTCCAGAGGATCACCAAGTCCTGAGTTCGATTTGAAGATCAAATTCGGGACTCGGCAATCCTCTGTACAGCGAGAATTGAACTTCAGTGTTTGACACTTGGGACTCGGTGAGCCAAAGTGAGACTTACACTTCTGTGTTCAACACCCAGGACTCCTGAGCCATGAAGATTGAATAACATTGACATGTACATAAAGGCAGGCAGTGTAGTATCAGTCCATTACTTCTTTTCCCTTGCTCTTGTCACTTGAGAGGTATTGTCTGATGGCTGTTGAGTTGATTTACTCCGGGTTGTCCTCACTGATGGCTCAATCGCCAGTTTTTTTCCCCACATGTTTTTTGGCACCAGAGACATGTGCCCTCCTTCCATTCCAACATCCTCCTCAAATTGCCAGTGACTCTGTCAGTCAACCCAGCCAGGAGGTCACCCGTTCGTGATGTCAGCAGTGCACCAGTTTTCACTGGCTTGACTGGGCGAGGCTTTGGAATTGCATGTGGGACTGCTGTCCCTTCATGTGCTGTTGAAGGACCTGGCTCTCTTCTGGGTCTCTTTTGCAGGGATCTACCATCAGCTGCATCATCATCAACATCATCCTCCATGTGATGAGAGTCACTCTTGGGATTACTCCCAGGATTGCTCTCGGTGTTGGTTGACGAATTCCAAGGCCTTCGGATCATCTGCTTTCTGACTTTACAGGTCCGATGAGAAGGCGAATTCCTGGACACAACCGATGCTACCATGTCTCCATCTTTGTTCTTCCATGCTTTGAACGGGAATGTTGGTCCTTCGCCTTTCTCCTGCTGAGCATGCCAGAAATTGAGTAAGGCCATAGTGTCCCAATTTTGCAACTTGGAAGGCTCCTTCAAGTCCACATCCACTGGAACATACTTCCTTGCCACAAAGTCATTGTGACTTTGTATGATGGTGCTCCATGGCACGACTGCCTTGTCACTCCCGGAACAGATCCCTGTGTCCATGCATTCAACAAATTCTCAGGTGTTGCAATGATAGACTCACAATAGTGTGATGTAAGAAATGCCCTCACTATGGCCTTCTTCTCCTTGAGTTTCATTTTGGTGATGTCCAGAAGCAATGGCATCCCATCTCCATCGGTTTCCAGTTTGAAAGCAGGCTTTCTGATTCTTTTCAACCTCCCTTCATCTGTCATCCTCCATCCCATGCCCCAGCACCTATCATCACGATGATCAACAAATTCCTTCTAGTAGCCAGAGTAAAAACACTCACCAAACTGTTCCTGCGTGTACTCCTGCCAAACCGGCTTGATGTCCTCCCAGTTCTTCATCTTCATGAAGCTGTCCCCATCTCCTAATGCC